CACCCAGCCCGGAGGCCTTAGTCATGGTGGATTTTTTGTCTTCGAACACATGCCCACCCTCGAAGGAGTGGTCGATACATGCGACCACCCAGCCCGGAGGCCTTAGTCATCGTGGATTTTTTGTCTTCGAACACATGCCCACCCTCGAAGGAGTGGTCGATACATGCGACCACCCAGCCCGGAGGCCTTAGTCATGGTGGATTTTTTTGTCTTCGAGCACATGCCCACCCTCGAAGGAGTGGTCGATACATGCGACCACCCAGCCCGGAGGCCTTAGTCATGGTGGATTTTTTGTCTTCGAACACTTGCCCACCCTCGAAGGAGTGGTCGATACATGCGACCACCCAGCCCGGAGGCCTTAGTCATGGTGGATTTTTCCCTTTCGAACTGATCGAACACTTCGACCTGCCGCTGAAGTAGACAAGAAAGCACACCAAACACCACGAGATAGAATAGTAATCGATCATTCTCATTAGCCTCATCAAATGCATAGCTACATCGAGCAAAATAAAATAATCAAGTATATTTTTCGACCTCCCTTTCATGTTTGTGCATGACGGCATGTGTTGTCGTTCACTTCCCTCTGTTCATTCCTCACTGCAACCATGCAGTGTACGTAGATAGCCAATCCTCCTATTTGTGTATTTTCCTCAACAAGAATTTAACAATTTCATTAGTCGTATTTTATCCACATCATCCCATTTGCAATCCCGATAGCAACCATGACAAGAGATTAATAAATCAAGGCTATACATTGGTCCACATGGTTTTATACCACACCTCAATTTACATGAAAACTACTTTAACACGGTATGCAATCACGTAAACACCCACTCCAATATACAGTCGACCAGAATTTCACACAACCATTATTTCATCAAACAATTACAATAAATCATACTCTGCACCTGCAAATGACCATTAAACGAATGCACCAAATGAAAGTTGAGATGAATTACTTCCAATATCGAGCTCATTAGTCATGATGACTTGAAACTGGCCAGCCCGAAAGCCTTAGTCGTGCCAGGTTTTGTTCGATGCTCTACGTACACCTCATTTTCTGCATTATGCTAGTCACTAGAATGATAATTCCAAACACATCCATATACACCACAATCTCATCCACATTTCGCTCAAGATATTCAAATAATGAACATTCCTCCAAAAAAGAATGCCAAGATGTTCAATGTACCACAAAATTGTGTCGGTCAAACTTGACCGCAAACAAAAGTTGAGATTAATTTCATACCTGAAGATCTTGAATATCACTTCCCATTATTCTACTTCTCCAAAAGAGAATGATTTCTGCCTTTGAAATCGCCCCCGGTGATCGACATCATCCAGGCTTATCCTTCCTTATCACCCACCTTTTATGGATCTATGCTCGCTCATCTTGTCCTCGACACTCAACAGCTCGTCCGACATAGCTCGTCAAGACTCGGGTTATTTCGTTGTTTCCTCGACAAGAATTC